TTCTGGTGAGGACGCTGGAGGCCTGTCTTAGTGTCGGAGCCATCAACGGGTAGATCCGAGAGAGACTAGGCGGCATCTTCCTTATGGAGAACTCGAATAGACGGCAGAGCGTTGTGGCTGGGCTCCGGAACGTGGCAACAATGGGGATTAGGATGGCCGGGTAACGAACAGGTCCACCAGAACTGCTGGCCTAAGGAAGGTGATCGATCGGCGACATTTCATAGCAGCCCGTGATCGTGCGGAGGGCAGCGTTCTGTGCTGACTGAAGGCGGCGGAGACTGGAAGAACTGATTGTGGGAGACCAGATTGGTGCCGCATATGTGAGATGCGGCTTGGACAGCACTTCGAATGTAGTCGCCAGCGTCTCTTTCTCGCAGCCCCAGGATATGCCCGCAAGAGCCTTGAGGACCTTGGTAGGGTGTGTCTGCGTGTGTGGCAACAAGACAAACGTAATAAAAATGGTACCCAACCACCTAGGACTTCATACCTAGCTTTCAATAGCAACTACGTTATGATTGAGTGTCCGCATGTACAGCCCCTACAGGTGTTTGACTTCATGAGCTAGGAGACATACCTGATTTCAAATATATCGATAAGGGTCCGTTTTCAGCATTTCGGTTGTCTAATAAGTTGATCCTCTCAGAGCTTCGAACCCTTAGCTTTGCTCAGCATACATTTATGGGCATAAATTGGAGCAACAACATCACGAGGTATGTTTAAGGGAATCTGGGTGGTCACGTTCAGGCTAGTTTGTTGAAATCGAAAGCCTCATTGCGTAAATTTTGCAAAATTAGGCGTGGCGCAGTTGGCACCTTGTTCGGTGAGCTTTTGACGTAAAACGTCCAAATGATTTTTACAATTTAATCAAAATATCGCACATTCGGACATGCCACGACAAAATCGTAAATTGGGATCAGTAATCAAATTGAGGGAGAGTATATTATGACATCGACCTTCGACGATTTTTGTCAGATAAGTAATGCAAATAGATGTCGTGGTAGATGCTTTCCACCCATAAACAAGACATGCGTTTTCATTCAACCTTAGTCCGATTAACAATGAAGTCAGAGAGATTCAGAACAACAGATATTCTCAGGCCAAAAGACGTTATATCCTCAAGCAGCAAAGTCGGTGTTCGTCTTCTGTTATAGGAAAAGACGTCTACGCTACCTTCTACCTTCTAATTGGGAGGCTTTTATGCAAATACGGTTCAGTGAACCGGTCGCTCAGGCGGTAACCGCGTGCAATTGCGCAAATAAGCCCAGACTAGAAGGTGTCAGACGCTCTTTGTGCGTCTTTTTGTTTGAAGACTTTGACCTTATAATTCCTCCTCTTTCCCTGGCGAATAATCTTTTCGGAGCTACTACAAAGGTATTTTAATCCCACAGGATGTCAACGACGAACGACCGATATTTGATCGTTGGCTCTACGAGGTTACCGTCTCCGAGGCCGCAGCACCAGGTCTTCTTCTTCTCACGGCGAACGCTAGCGACGCGGACTCTGGTCTCAATGGACAGGTCCGTATGCGACTACACTTATACCTATTTCATATTCATTGCGACCTCATTTTTTAGTCTGTTAAAATCATCTTTCTGACGCTTCGTTTGGCATCCAATCTGGTTGGATTTTTGAATGCCAATCTCACAACAGCTCATGTCGTTGTTGCAAGGTCAACTGACCTCCCTTTCAAACTCCGAATATGTCTGGTCCGGGTTGGGGCTATGTCTGGTTTTCGACGAAAAATAGGTCAGAAGTACCCATTCTCATTAGTATTCATCGAGTTGATGCCTAACAGGGCTTTTCTGCTCTCTTTAGACGAGTTGACTGCGTTTAGAAGCCGGCACCAACAACACACCCGCACGGAGGACGGAAACCTTAAACTTTTCAGCGATATCGTCATGTCTGCAATGCATTAATAATGTTTTCACGGCGACTAAACTTCTTGCAGCATGATTAAATGTCGGTTTTGTTCATCGACTCAAAACAACCGTGCACACCTACCTCATGTCTGCCAAGACTGATGGACATCCGGCCACTAGTCTGGTCTTGTCTATTCTATTCTATACTTAGGTTGCCCACTCAGCCGCATGGGAAAAAACTGTACGAAGGTCAGGATGTTGAGTAGGTGAATAAAAACTGGTGACGCGAATGGCGGATTGGCCGCCTCAAGTAACTTTTTACATCCTGAGTACTGAGGAATGACAACATTTCGACATTCAGTCGTGGCATCCGTAGGATAGGCTGTGAAACAAGAGTGATCTGTTGGTATATTCTTAATACCAACAGGCTACAGGAACGTCCGGTAATCGTAAATCACGAAGAAATTTAATTTCCTCGGAGGTCGAAAATGGGGGGCAAATTCTAAACACGCTCATATGGCCTGCCACAGAAATTGACTAAATCAGACGTTTCAGGATATCCAAGTAAGGTCCACCGATAATAAGTATCGTAGTTAAAATATATTGTCTGCTTGCCTTGAAGGATAAAAAGCAAATATTGTCTCTTTTTGCCACTGCCCTTCGTATTGACAGTTGCAGGAGTCTGAAGGCATTTTATGCCACAGTATTCGAAACGCCTTTGTGTCTGCTGAAGAACCTAGCTCTCTCAACACTCAACGGTAGGAAGGTGACATCTGTGGCCTTTTGCCTGTGAAGAAGAAGAAAGTGCGACAAGAGAAGCGTCATTCTGCCTTCACTACTTCGCGCGCAATCTACCGTCCATTTTCCTACCATACTCTGGGGCAGACTACGGACCTCATCCTTCGAGATGGTTGAACCTTCAACTACTGTTTGATTCGACGTCACTCTTGAACTGGACACGGACTTTATTCTGAGCGGCGGCTCGTTTACTTTTGATTGTGTTCGGATGAGCGTTACGCTGACAGTGAATCAAGTTTTGCAGACTGAACACACTTGTTTTGCACCGGAGCATTCACTTCGTCTCAAGCAAAATTGGTGAATTTAACTGAAGCTGCTGTTTAGCTGTCTTCTTGCGTCCATTCTCCGTCTTCCTTGTCCAGCCTTTGGAGATAGGAACACCAATAACGAATAGGCGACTAAGAGAAAAAAAGACCAACACAGAAAATAATTAGCACTCTTTTTCTAGTTATCATTGCTCCTTCATGGTATAAATGAATACAACTCAGCTATTTTTAGAAATGACAGCAAGGCGTCACCCATTTCCTCTAGGGGCGCCCCTCTGTAAATGAAGTCGGATAGAAAACAAGAGCAAACCCAGGGTGTTGCCCTTAAAAACGGCAGCATGAATAGTCTATTGGAAGGTTGATATTTTCTTTCTCCTCAAAATATAAAGTATTTGGCAAGAAATATCCACATTGCATGACTACTTCGGAAAAAAAGCTATTGAACAATCACAACCGGTACTTGTGTGAGTAGGTAAGGGGGAGCAAGTTTGCATGCTTGGCTAGCAATTTACGCCTACACTTGTGAATAAGGTTGCTCCTCTGTCTATATTTTCAGCCAGTATTAATTTGTCCCGCGGAATTTTCGAACAACCTCTTTGTCACATGTGATGAAACATGTTTACAAATTCATTTGCGATGTAGTTATTTGTCCAAACTCTGTGGGGTGCCTCTAAGGGGCCTCCAATTTTCGCGACAGATTTTCTCCGTCGGAGTTCCGGCAGGTTGTAGGTCGTTGCATGTGATCGTTGAGGCGTCTTCGAATTTTTTTGCGAATGGCGTAAGTTTCATTCTGTCAGCCCTGTAACCTGATTGGTTGTTGTAAGACTTCCTCAAATTCTGTTGTATTTGCTGTCTGTAGATGACAAACTAATGTATTTCGTGGGTCCTGGTCTCACAGGGTCGATGCTGATAATGTTTCTATTACAGCAAATATTTAATATCTTTTTGTGCCTGTGCAGCCAATCTTGGACCTGTGGAAGTCTGGGGTCGAGTACCCCGGTCGATCTGGTTCCGTAATTGGCTTTTATTTCACCACAGGCATTTAAGTCAGTTTGTAATCCAGTCTGTCTGAACTTTGCCTGTCTCCAGTCGTGTGGTGTTTGATCGCTTTCCGTTCCTCCCCCCCCTTCCACCTCTTCCACCCCTGTGACCATACCCATGGTCAGCTACGTAGGTTTATTGCCGCGATAATTAGGCGATGGTCAGTCCTGCTTTCGGTCCCGACACCTTCTTTTACCGAGAATCATTTGGTGATACCTAATTTTAACGAGCATGCCGTTTACTATTTCTCGGTGACGCCGACGTAGCGGCATCCATATTTTTGGCTTGGGTTTGGGAGGCAAACTCAGTGCTGGTTCTTTTTCCCTGTAGAACCGCGGTTCACTCGGGACACCCTTGTAGACACACAATATAGCTTCTGCGTTTGGTCCAAGACCATGAGGCAACCTATTTTTTGGGGCTCTGAACGCATCTGAGCGCAAATACAAGTCGAATAGCAATCTTATTTCAGTAACTTTTTAAATTCCTAATAATCCAAGTTTTTATCTTATTTGTTTTTTGGAATTCTCCATTTCACCCACCCGATAGATTCGGTATCACCTGGAACCACTACTCGAAGCCGACAAGAAGCCCCGTTACTCGGTTTCTAGCTTCAATGTTGATAGCCAAAGTGGTGAACTCCGACTGGCCGAAGAACTCGACTTTGAGACGCAGCGGACTGTCCGTTTCTGGTTGGTCGCCACAGATCGTGGGACCCCGCCGCTCTCTGAACGTGTACCGGTCCATGTGAGTAGCGGTTAGATAGGCCTTCCATTCTTGCACACTCTGGCTCCAGAATCTGTGATTTTGTTGGAGAATTGGATAAGGATTTCTTGTGAGGCAACCTAGTGGTAAAAGTTCTCCCGCCTAAGTTTCTTACGGAAATCGTGGTTAGAGGTTTCATGCTTGATTAAGGCGTACTTAATGCGTATTTAATTTGTGATAAGTGCACAGTAGGAAATAAATTAAAGCCGCCTGTGATTGTTTTACTGAACTACCATATATGGGAAAAGCATACAGAAAGAACAAAATCGACCAACATAAATTCATATTGGTCAGCAAAGGATGCCTATAGACCGATAACAATATTAGAACAACCCCTATTATTTACCATAATCAGGGAAGTTTTTGGTTAGACGGAAATTGGACCTGTTGAAAATATGGAAGTAGTTTTTTTTTATTATTTATCTCAGACAAAAGCGGCCCCACAAGAAAGCCCTACCGAGAATTAATGCCTTCAAGGTGCGCTGAGTAGCAAGATGGCTATCTTCGGAGAAGGGGTAGTACTCAAAATACCGTGTACATTTTTCACTCATTTTGAATTTTCTGAAATTAAACCATTCAGCAAGTCTTCCTCAGGGATGCACGATGAATGTTCTGTACTCTCTCTCTCT